CCAGGACCGGGAAAGTCCTCTGCCACCCGAACCGCGTCTGCGATTAAGGGTCGCCACATCGCCGTATATTGAATTGCTCGTGCAAGTTCGTCGCTGCCCACCCGTGCGTGATCCTGGTGGCCTTTGCCCCTCTAATCTTCAACGGGTGAAAGTACTGCTGGGTGGTTGGTCAACTTCTTTGGTTCTCGGAATCAGACAGGCGACTCGCGGCGGCGGCTCGCCACCGAAGAACGCGCGGATATATTTTCCAAAATTTGCCTGGCGAAGGGCCCAACCATATGCAGTTGTGAGTGCCGCAATTGTAAAAAAAACTTCTTCGGTGGCGCTCCGCATGGGGCCACGAAACGCTGTACTGGGTGGTCGGAGCGCAGGGAGCATGGGCCGTGTTGGGCGGTGGCGGACGCATGCGGGCGGCGCCACTGGGACCTTCGGCGGGGCCTATGGGGCCACGAAGCGCTGTACTGGGTGCGCGAAACGCAGGGAGCAAGGGCTGTGCCGGGCGGTGGCAGACGCATGCGGGCGGCGCACTGGGACCTCCGGTGGGGCCCCCCACGGGGCCACGAACCGCTGTACTTGGTGGGCGAAACGCATGGAGCAAGGGCTGTGCTGGGTGGTGGCGGACGCACGCGGGCGGTTCCACTTGGACCTTCGGTGGAGCTCCCTACGGGGCCACGAAGCGTTGTACTAGGTGGGTGAAACGCAGGGGGCAAGGGCCGCATTGGGCGGTGGCGGACGCACGCGGGCGGCGCCACTGGGACCTTTGGGTGGGCGAAACGCAGGGAGCAAAGCAAGGGCTGCGCTGGGTGGTGGCGGACGCACGCGGGCGGTGCCACTGGGGCCTTCGGTGGGGCCCCCTATGGGGGCCACAAAACGTTGCACTGGGCGGGCGAAACGCAGGGAGCAAGGGCAGTGTTGGGTGGTGGCGGACGCACTCGGGCGGCGCCACTGGGCCCTTCGGAAGGGCCCCCTTATGGAGCCACGAAGCGCTGTACTGGGCGCGCGAAACGCAGGGAGCTAGGGCTGTGCTGGGTGGTGGCGGACGCACGCGGGCGGTGCACTGGGACCTTCGGTGGGGCCCCCCACATGGGGCCACGGAGCGGTGTACTGGATGGGCGGAACGAATGGAGAAATGGCTGCGATGGGTGGCGTCGGACGCACGCGGGCGGCGCCATTGGGGCCTTCGGTGGAGCTCCCTATGGGGCCACGAAGCGCTGTAATGGTTGGGCGAAACGCAAGGAGCAAGGGCTGTACTGGGCGGCGGCGGTCGCACGCGGGCGGTGTCACTGCGACCTTCGGTGGAGATCCCGATGGGGCCACGAAGCGCTGTATTGGGTGGGTGAAACGAAGGGAGCAATAGCTTCACTGGGTGGTGGCGGACGCATGCGGGCGGCGCTGCTGGGACCTTCGGTGGGGCCCCCTATGGGGCCATGAAGCCCTGCACTGGGTGGGCGAAACGCAAGGAGAAAGGGCTGTGCTGGGTGGTGGCGGACGCATGCGGGCGGTGCCACTGGGTCCTTCGGTGGAACCCCCCATGGGGTCACGAAGCGCTGTACTGGGGGGTGGAACGCAGGGAGCAAGGGCTGTGCTGGGTGGTGGCGGACGCATGCGGGCAGTGCCACTGGGACCTTCGGTGGAGCCCCCATGTGGGGCCACGGAACGCTGTACTGGATGGGCGGACCGAAGGGAGAACGGGTTGCGATGGGTGGTGTCGGACGCACGCGGGCGGTGCCATTGGGGCCTTCGGTGGAGCTCCCTATGGGGCCACGGAGCGATGTGCCGGTTGGGCGAAACGCATGGAGCAAGGGCTGTACTGGGTGGTGGCGGTCGCATGCGGGCGGTGCCACTGTGACCTTCGGTGGAGATCCCTATGGGACCACGAAGCGCTGTATTGTGTGGGTGAACGAAGGGAGCAATGGCTTCACTGGGTGGTGGCGGGCGCATGCGGGCGGCGCTGCTGGGACCTTCGGTGGAGCCCCCATGTGGGGCCATGAAGCCCTGCACTGGGTGGGCGAAGCGCAAGGAGAAAGGGCTGTGCTGGGTGGTGGCGGACGCATGCGGGCGGTGCCACTGGGGCCTTCGGTGGAGCTCATCATGGGGCCACGAAACGCTATGCTGGGTGGGTGAAACGCAGGGAGGAGGGGGAGGAGGGCCACGAAACGCTGTACTGGGTGGGTGGGGACGCATGCGGACGGTAGACCTGGAACCTTCCCTATGGGGCCACGAAACGCTGTACGGGGTGGGTGAAACGCAGGGAGGAGGGGGGGGGACGCAGCGGTCATCATGGGGCCACGAAACGCTATGCTGGGTGGGTGAAACGCAGGGAGGAGGGGGAGGAGGGCCACGAAACGCTGTACTGGGTGGGTGGGGACGCATGCGGACGGTAGACCTGGAACCTTCCCTATGGGGCCACGAAACGCTGTACGGGGTGGGTGAAACGCAGGGAGGAGGGGGGGGGACGCATGCGGACGGTAGACCTGGAACCTTCGGTGGAGCCCCCTTTATGGGGCCACGAAGCGCTGTACTGCGTAGGTGAAACGCAGGGAGGGGGTGGAGGAGGGCCACGGAACGCTGTATTGGGTGGGGGGGGCGCACGCGGACGGTAGACCTGGAACCTTCGGTGGGGCTCCCTGTGTGACCACGAAACGCTGTACTGCGTGGGTGGAACGCAGGGAGGAGGGGGAGGAGGGCCACGAAACGCTGTGCTGGGTGGGTGGGACGCATGCGGACGGTAGACCTGGAACCTTCGGTGGGGTTCCCTGTGGGGCCACGAAACGCTGTACTTGGTGGGTGAAACGCAAGGAGGAAGGGGGGAGGAGGGCCACGAAACGCTGAACTGTGCGGGGGGGAGGGGGGGGGGCGCATGCGGACGGTAGACCTGGAACCTTCGGTGGAGCCCCCTATGGGGCCACGAAACGCGCTGGGCGTGGCGGACGCATGCGGGCACCCCACTGGGCCCTTCGGTGGAGCTCCGTATGGGGCCACGAAACGCTGTGCTCGGCGCGGGGAACGCATGCCCCCCCCCCCCCCCCACCACCACCACCACCACTGGGACCTTCGGTGGAGCTCATCATGGGGCCACAAAACGCTGTGCTGGGCGTGGGGGGCGCATGCGCCCCCCCCCCACTGGGGCCTTCGGCGGAGCTCCCTATGGGGCCACGAAACGCTGCCCTGAGCGTGGGGGGCGCATGCGCCCCCCCACACTAGGGCCGTCGGTGGAGTTCCCCATGGGGCCACGAAACGAATCAGTCATGGCGATGCCGATGCTGATGATGGTGATGATGATGATGATGGTGATGATGATGGTGATGATGATGATGATGATGATGATGATGATGATGATGATGATGGTGGTGGTGATGATGGTGATGATGATGATGATGCTGCTGCTGCTGCTGCTGATGATGATGATGATGATGATGATGGAAGGAGGGGGGTGAGCTGAAACATGCGGAGAGCAAAGGCAAGGATGGGGGAGGAGGGAGGAGGAGGAGGAGAGAAGGAGGAAGGAGGAGGTGGGACGCGGGGCGCTGTCTCTTCAAAACGAGGACCCAACACCACAGGACGGTTGGGGAAAAAAACGCTTGCTGTCCAAAACTTGCACGTTCTTCGTTAAAGATTAAGGGTACACCTTCAAAATCATTCTGCAGCACTCACCTTGCACACTTGGGCCCACACAGGGGCTGACCCCTACGGTGTCTTTACATGCGGCTGTGGAGAACGCGTTCTTGTTTAACTTTGCACGATTCGCAGCATGTACCTATTCAAAGCTGCGCTATTTACGTTGCATGGTCTACTTGCTGGGGTGTCCTAAACTAAGGTACAAGCTGCGTTACGTGGCAAGCGCCTACTATTCTACATATGCGACGTCTCTGTCTCTCTGTACCGCCTTAGCCGTGGCGCCCGCCAGGTACCTTTGCGCCGAGTCATCTGCAGTTCCATTTCTTTGTTGCAGCACTTCAAGAACGCAACACGCGTAAGCGTAAGGTCTGGCCAACACAAAAAGAGGAGGAGAAGGAGCCATGTGATGTTGCTCACGGCGCGATGGGGCGAGAAGAAATCAGCGCGACGGGAAGGGATGGCGGGAGGGTAGAATGGCCTGCCCCCTTCGCCCCCCTCCGCCTAATTACCCCCCCCCCCCGCTCCCCCCTCCTCCAACTCCCCGTGCCCCCCACCTCCTCCCCGCCCCCTTTCCACCGCCACCTCCTTCTCCGCGTCCTCCTCCTATTACTACTCACTCCTCCTCCTCATCATCCTTACCCTCATCCTCATCCTCGCCCTTATCATACGCAGCATCACCATCATCACAGCGTCATCAGCATCATTATCAGCAGCAGCATCATCAACAGCAGCAGCAACATAATCATCATCAGCATCAGCATCATCGTCGTCATCATCATCATCATCATCATGATGATCATCATCATCATCATCATCATCATCATCATCATCATCATCATCATCATCATCATCATCATCAGCATCATCATCATCATCATCGTCATAATCATCATCATCGTCATCATCATCATCATCATCACCATCACCATCACCCTCACCATCATCATCATCATCATCATCATCATCACCATCATCATCATCATCATCATCATCATCATCATCATCATCATCATCGTCATCATCATCATCAACAGCACCATCATCATCAATATCAACAGCATCGTCATCATCAACATAATCAGCATCAGCATCAGCATCAGCATCAGCAGCATCATCAGCATCATCAGCATCATCAGCAGATTCATCGTCCCTTTCCTGACTACCTACCAGACCACCAAAACCCAACCCGACGACCCGAATTTCGGGTTGGGGGGTACGGACTTTAGATATGCTGGTTCACATGTTCCCCGACCCCCCACCCCACTGGGAATGGACGGCAAATTGGAGCCTTCGGGCTGGGTTGGGGTGGTTTGGTGGGTGGTGATCTCCAAAGCCACCTCACGCGCCGTCCCCCATGAAACAACTGCCCTCCCCTGGGGCGCCGAACAACAGTTCCCCAGTGTAGAGCTCCATGAGGATGCACCTCGAAGGGGTAGGTGGAGGACAAGAGTGATGAGATGCCCTACAGCCAACCCATATCATAAAGGGTGCGCGGTAAGGATGCAAAGGCCTTGAAGGCCCATGTCAACGTTTTTCGAACGAGGTTGGCCAGCGAAAGTCGCCAAGGATGGGCCGAAGGAGCAAGGGCGCAAGGGTCCCCTTGGAAGATTGCTCCTCCTTATCATGCGGGCTGACTGTAGGCAGGGGACGAGAAGGATGACATGCCCTACCTATTGAAACTTATGTGCTGCGATCTTTTTTCGAGCGTGGATGGTCGTCACATCTCAACCCCCTCCAAAAACACGAAGGGCAGACGCGTCGGCGAAGGGGCCCGAGAAGCGAGCAATAGCGAGGGCCCGAGAGGCCGACGAGGTGGGGCCGACCGGAACGCCAGAAACAGCCAACTCACCTCGCAAACAAAACATGGAAGACAATACAGCACTCGCCCTCCTCATCCTCCTTCGCATCGTGTTCCTCCTCTTGCTGCTTCACCGCATCCTCCACGTCCTTCCCCCTGTCTATCCCTCCACGTCGTCGTCCTCGTCCTCGTCGTCTTCGCAATGCAACTAACTAACCTCGCAAACGAAGCATGGAAGACAAACCGGCACAAGACATCCTACAGTCGACCCGTGTCACAAGGATGCACGATAAGGATGCGAGTGCCTTGGGCGCCCGTTTCTAAGCTCTTCGAGCGGGGCGCGGCCAACGAGAGTGGCCGAGGATGGGCCGAGGAGTCAAAGGCGCAGAGTACCCTGTGGACGGTCGCCCATCCTTACTATGCGGGCTGACTGTAAGGCCAGCTAACCTCGCAAACAAAACATGGAAAACAACACGGCTCAAAACATCCTAAGGACTCGTCGGCCATGCCAAGCTATTACTTGATTAAGCTCGCCGTCCAGGCCCAAACGGATTCACTGAGGAGTCTGCATCCTCCTCGTTCAATGACTGCTCCGCCACCCACCCGCCCCGCTTTGCGAGCACGCGCAGGAGGCCATGAAGAAGGAGCACGGGGTGTAACAAAGAGGGATACAAGGCAGGAACAAAAAACATGAACCAAAACGACAAAACGTCCCACGCCCTCAGGACAGTTAGACACGCTAGCAGCAGCTGCCCCAAGTGGGACCATGGCAGAGGAAGGGGACGCGGAGGAAGGGGGAGGGGCTTGGTGCGGCGAGAGGGAAGCTGGAATGTGGGCTGGCAGCTGGACTACAAAAAGACTGGTCTGCAAAAGGCCGAACGACCTCAAATCTGGCCCCGCCAACGCACTGCTTTTCGTGTCCGTGACGTCGAGATGAAGGCGGACATGGCGGCTCTGCAAAGGCCGCTGGTCAGCCGTGTTGGGTGTGCAGCGCGGCGGGGCAGGCGAGTACCGAGCCGAACAAACGAACCCAGAAACGACAGCGGATGGGCCCACGCAGCTCCAGAATGGCCGCGACGAAGGGCCCATCCGCACCCTGGGCAAACTTGTCGAACACGCAGTCCTTGTAGGCGAAGGCGAGGCGGACGCCGCGCTTAACTAGGGAGGCGGAGGCGGCGAACCAGAGCGCCAAGCTTGCCGTACAGGTAGGACACGAGGGGAGGACCGGGCCGACCAGGCAGAACATGGGAGGGGCTGGTGGGGATACGCGAGGCGTCAATGAATTGCTTGGTAGTGCTCGGCATTGCAACGACAGGGGAGCTGAGGGATCACGACTGGGGAACCCGAGGAACAAGACCGCGGAACCCAAGGAACAGGACCAGGGAACCAGAGAATGACGACCTACCAGACCACCCCAACCCAACCCGAAGACCCGAATTTCGGGTTGGGGGGGGTAAGGGTTCCACATGTGTTCTTGTCGATGTTTCCCGACCCCCCCCGCTGGAAATCAAGGGTAAATTTGAGCCTGCGGGTTGGGTTGGGGTGGTTTGGTGGGTGGTGAGAGAAAGGAGGGCAAGGAACAGAACTGTGGAACCGAGAAACGACCAGGGAACCCAAGGAGCAATGCCAGGGAAGCGAGCAACGATGGGGGCCGCCTCTGCGTAGGCACCCCGCACCCCACACACACCGGATCTTTCACACATGCAATTCAGAAACCGTCAGGCAACACCTAATTTAGGAACGATTCTAGATTCCGGTGACTTAGACTGATACCTTTTATACAGGATCCAGTCTCAGACTTCAGGGCTGAAGGCGCTGCCTCGGAGAGGCAGATCGCAGTGTGAATTCGATGGTTCACATGATGTGTAACCAGCTAGCTGCTTCAGGTCTTGCAGAATAACCTGAACATGAATAGGGGGCGAGGGAGGGAGGGGAAGGTCGCATCATGCACGGCACAGAAAGGGGCGTGGGAAATGCAGAACGCCCGCCGCACACGGGCAAGTCGCAGGCGGAACACCAGTCGAGGAAGCATCCTGGTGTTCCGTTCACCTCTCCTGCCGATCACGGCACCGCTCTCGGATCAAAAGCCTCACACAGTCAAGCCTCCTCTTGCCCCGATCCTGTCCCCGCTGACTGCGCAACTCGGGGGTGGACAACACCCCCTTTAGCAACATGTGGTTTAGTGAAGACGTCCTCGGGCCCAAACATGGCGGGCGCAAGCCTGGAGCATGACGGCCGCGGCGCCCTCTCGAAAATACAAAACGTACACTTCACTGATCGACGTGTCAGGCGTCCTCCTCGTCTCCTCGTCCTCCTCGTCTCCTCGTCCTCCTCCTCTCCTCCTCTCCTCGTCCTCCTCGTCCTCCTCGTCCTCGTCTCCATCGTCTCCTCGTCCTCCCGTTCCTCCTGACATTTCCTCGGCGTTCTGGGATGGGCACCCCATAGACCACACATCCGAGAGCTCGTTCCAGCCCACGGCCAAGATCACCTTTTGCCACTCCCGCCGACCGGGGGGGGGGCCACGGTGAAGACGAAGAGGCAAGTCACGTGATGTGTCGGGCAGGGTCGAGATCAGGAGGTGCACGGAGAGTGGGCAGGACGACAAAGAGGACGAAGAAACAGGCGAGGATGAAGAGATGAACTCAACTGACGCCTCTGCGGCAAACACTGTCCCGACTACGGGGACGGGATGCAGCGCCGCAGCGCTCAATCCGACTTCTGGACGAACTACTTTGAAGACGCTGGATGCCGTTGTCTGCGACATTGGTGCACGTATTGTCCTAGTTTCAGGCGTAGCGTTGAAACCGCGTGGCTGTAAACACTACAAACCGATGAGGGGCGAGGGGGGACAGCACAAGGGACGGACGGGTGAGTGCAGAGTGGATGGACGAGAAGCAGGCATGGAAAAGGGGAGAGGACGGGGAAAGAAGGGAGGAACCCTAAAATAATCCGAGATCTACGAATGGGCTCCTGTCTGACCACGCGTGGCCGAATAAAACTCAACACTTAGAAATTAGCCTTGGGGATCTCTGAGGACACCTTCCTATTGCAATCGTCGCTGCGCCCTCCGTAGAACGCAAAAAGCAAAGAACAACGGAAGCTAACAGTCACAGTACCAGAGCGATAAAGCCCAAGGGGTCCGCGGATTAGGCGCACGCCTGCACATTCAATCTGGGGAATGCATATTTCGATGTTCGAACGTTGGGGTCTGATACATATCATAATGAAATAAATGAATGTATATATATATATAGAGAGAGAGAGAGAGAACAACAAAAACTGGAATGGCCCGGTAAGCGGTGTAATGATAATAACAGAGGGGGGGCGTGGATGCCTCTTTTACGGGTGGCGGAAACGAGGCCTTGTTGCGCAGGGGTCCGAGCCACTCCAAGAAGACTTGATGTCCCAGGGTGGCGGGTCGGTTATTCAAACTTGGCCGAACGCCGTAATTCAGATGGCCACAGGCACCGGGCAGAGTGAGAGGTACACGTTTGTTTTGACGCACGGCGGCATATCCTCCAATGGCCCCAAAAGCACTGCAGTGGGCCTCTCCCGCCCCCGCAGGCCCGACCCACGCTCCCGCCAAAAGGGCCCTCGCCCACCGCCGTGGCCGCAGGGCTCCCGAGGAGGGAATGCGGGGTCGGGAGGAATGCCCCCCCACGCGCAGGAAGGATTGAGCAGCCCGCGCCCCGGGCCGACCGCGTGACCAAGAAAGGGGAGGGCGGAGCAGGTCGGAGCGGCGCCGATGTCGCCCAGATTGCGTCTCGCGTAGGGAACGGCGGGTGCGCCACGGCGCCACCGATGAATCTCCGAACGCACATCAATGCCATATCCCTCCAACGTTTGTCATCGCACGCATCTGCTTCACACGCAGAACTTCGCACATTCGCACGCACGTCGTCGAACCATCGCAACCGCGGCCGTTGCGACAGCCTCCGGGCACGTGCGTCGCAGCAGGGCGGGTCCCACATCGCAGGGCCCCAGCTGAATTTGTGCCCGTCGCGCACCAGTTTAAAAAACCCACCGCCATTTCCGTCGTCTGTTCCAACATGTGTCTTGCTATTTTGATCTGTTTGTGCCATAGCTGTGTGTACGCACGAATGCCGGAGATGAGCTCTAGGACGAATGTGCGGGGTGCGCGTCGCTGTCGGTCACGGTCTCTGCCGATGCTGCGTCAACCCTCTCAATTGCCCGCCGCGCGTGTACCGGAGTCGCGGCGCAGTCGCCACCGCGCGTGACGCGCGGAGCAGGGCTGCACGAGTTTCGCCCTCCAGCTTTGCCGCGAGTGTCCATGGCGCACGCCCGTGCAACGTAATTGCGCCAACGCAGACGAACTGATCATTCGCTGTTCTCCCTGCGGCCTTCACCCGTGACTCTCTCTCTCTCTCTCTCATTCTCTCTCTCTCTCTCTCTCTTTCTCTCTCTCTCTCTCTCTCTCTCGCTCTCTCTCTCTCTCTCTCTCTCTCTCTCTCTCTCTCTCTCTCTCTCTCTCTCTCTATATATATGTATATATAGATTTCCACCTCTGCTTGGGCACAGAAAATATTTTGCCGGCCTGTATATATATATATATATATATATATATATATATATACATAGATAGATGCGCCCAGAGAGGGGGCAAGACTTCGATCTTCACGTCGTCAACAACAGTGAAATCTGGCCCGATCGTCGGCTTCCAGTCGCAAAGATCGGGCGCTGCCTTCGTTTTGTTGGGGTGGATCTATATGCCCGTCATCAGAGCAGTGCTCTCTGGGCGTCTGATAGCACCCGCTTGAAGACCATTGTCATTGAGACACCATCGACAACGTCGCGCGCGCCTGACGCGCGACAACTGACTCCCGCGCGTGCGTCTAGACAACTCTAGGTAAATTTTGTTGGCAGATGTACTGTGGAAGACGGTTGAATAGAAGCAAGCCCATTGGATCGCCCTGCTTCGCTCGCGCGCAGTGCGGATTTATCCGCTCACTGCGCCCGACTTCGCCGCAACTGTTTGGCCGGCGCGCAACTCGGCAATCATGTTGACGCGAGGTGATGCGGCGCATGGCGCTTCCAAAGGTTTCCAGAGTGCACCGCGGGAAACTGCGTCAGAAGTTTCTTTGAACCCCAGCGCGGCTGCCTGCATTGGAAATTGGGACTTGCCACCCCCATCGATTTTCCTGATAGATTGCGTGCGCGACCAGATGGTCGTCGGAATGCTACTTCTGCAATTTTGCAGATCTGAATGCGGCGCCAGCTCTCCCGAATGGGCGATTCAGGCAACCAGATGACGCATTGCAGTTCCGATGGCATGCGCCGCAAGCTTCTCCCCCATGCTTGGGCATCTCTGCTGCGCTGCCAGGCGCGCCCGCAGATTCGCCGCCCTCAGCTGCCTGAGCCCCGCGGCGGAAAGGGCGGCTCAAGAGCCCCCCCCCCGCCCCGAATGCCCTCGCAGGCCCGGCCCCCGCCCCCGCCGACAGGGGGCCCGCCGCGGCGGCCGCGGGGCCCCCCGGATGGGAGCGCGGGATCGCCCCCCCCCCCCCCCCCAGGCGCGGGGAGGCAAGGCTTGAGCCGCCCAAACCTCAAGCCGGACGGCGCAGCTCGGGCGCGCCCCCGCCGGCCCAGCGGCCGCCGGCGGCCACTTGCCCTTCGGCGGGTGCCCCGCCGAGGACCCGGCCGACCCCGGCCACGCCGCGCTGCGCGCCGCGGCGCCGCGGCTCGCGGAGCCGCGAAGGAGCGGCACTGCCGCCACCAGCGCTGCGACGTGACCTCCTGGCACAGGGTTGAACATGACGGCTCTGTCAACTGCTCAAAATTAGATGGCATGAACTTCGCCAGAATTTCGCAGAAAAGCCCCAGGAAGTTCCAGAACGACAGCGCAGATGTTCACCCCCCTGGCGCCTGTCCCCTCCGGCCCCCGACGCGCGCCGTCAGGGCCCGCGCTTGCTGTTCGGTGGAAGAGCAGGCCGACCTGGCGACGGACTCGCACTCGGCGTCGCTGCCCTCTCCTGCGGGCTGCCAGAACGGGCGCTAGGCATCCACGACATCGGCGTCGGGCGACCCCCAGGAACGGGCGCCGCCAGGGCGAGGCGGCGCAGAAGCCAGAGACCGCGCTGTTGTTGTTCACCTCACAAGTAATCTGACCACCCCGAGTTGTCCTTGCGAAGCATTGTCGAATCGATGTCCGCCCCCATCTCGCACTCGCCCCCCCGCCCCGCCCCCCCCTGGGCCTCGGTCGAAACCAAATGGAGGCCTGGCTCTCGTCCGCCTCGGATTTCTCGCATCCGCCATTTCCCCGCGCCGCGTTGCCCTACTTCCAGCGCAACACGGCGCGGCGCGGGCGCCGCCTGAGCTTCCTGAAAGATGCCAAATGGATTCCCGCAAGACCTCCGAGAGTTCCTTGGCCCCTCTGGCGAGCCCAGGACCCGCGGGGATACGAAAAAATGTCAAAAGTGATTCCTAGGGGAGATTGATTCAGAATTCCCGAGGGACCCCGACAATCACTGAGGACCCAGAGCCCCCCTCAGGATTCGCACGACACGCTGAAGATTACTGACGGATTCCTGAATCAATCCACGGGGGTCCGGAAGGATACCTGGCCATGCCTGATGGTTCCATGCAGGGCCCCTGACGGACCCCAAATCAAACCGTCGCATGGATGATTCCAAACAGAGTTTCTCGGGGATGACTGCAGGTTCCTCTGGATTCCTGGGGAATTCTGGGACATCCCTGAGAATTCCTAGCAAATACCTGGGGCGCCCTGCAGGCTCCCTGAGGATCCCCAAGGATGCCCACGGGCTCCTGAGGAGCCCCGTCCGGGGATTCCTGAACGTTTCTGGAGCTTTCCTGGGGAAGCCACAAGCATTCCTGAAGGATTCCTGCGATGGGAGCAGGGATTACGCGGATTCCTGAGGGACCTGGAAGATCCCAAGTTTTCGCGAATGTGGATTATTCGAAGATTCTGGGACCTTCTTCCAGGATCTTGCCGATTCGCAAACACATTCCTGGAGAATCCTGCGGGCATCCTGATGGATCCCTGGTGAAGGGATGCCAGGGACGCCCTGGGGATTCCTGAAGATTAGATTCATCGGAATTTCGAATCATCCATGACGATTCCACAAGCTGTCGGAAGGTTCCTGGGGATCCCGCAAGTCCGGGGCCCTCCTGGGCCGTCTCGGGGCCTTCTTGGCGGCATCTTCGGCGAGTTTGAGACCTTCTTGGGCCGTCTTGGGCTGTCCGAACCAAGACTGGGCTCTCTGGGGGGTGCTCGTGGCCCTTGCGTCGCCTTGGAACCCCACTGGCAATTTCGAAGCCAACGATCGGGTCGGCCACGAGCCAACCCCGCCTATAATACCCAAACGTGCATCGCCGTTAGCGCGCCCACGGGCCTGCGACAGCGGCCCGGGGAAGTTCTCGGCGAAACCAGCGGAACGCAAGCCCCTCACCATGAGACGGGGGGGGGCAGCTGATCCCACTCACACTGGGGCGGGGGGGCAGTCCTGGATCATA